AAACATAACAAAAGTCTTTGTCGATATTGTGAAATTGTGGATATAAAAGGTGTTTGGGGGTGCCGCTTTGCAACCCAGGTCGCAAATACTCCTCAATATTCCTGTGTGTTAAAGTCATGTAAAATTATGGGAGTTTTTATTGATCCAAAATAAGACTATAAGGTTATTAGACACTATCATAGTCACCATCATTATCGGCAAGATTTTAAATTCTAAACCAATAAATACCATTAATTTCGGTCTGGGCGTAGAACATTATTGAGATATAAACCATTCTTCTAATGGAATACAGTTCAAGAGCTGAAAGAAATTCTACGAAATACCAGAAACAAATAAATCATCTCTTGAAATATGTTTTCATTTATAATTACACATATTAATGGGCTCTCTAGTACACTTCTGAGGCGATTCCCATCTTCAATAGCTTTTAAATCTCTCGCTGGAACCCTTCCATTCTTGAGGGTGGCATTCATAACCCCTAATCCCAGCCCACTACCGTCGCCCCGGCTAACCCCAACTCGTGTTTAATTGTTTGTATTTCTTGCTTATTGACTGAACGACTGACCATCGGCCATTGGAGGCATTGGAGGCAGCACTCCAGCTCGCACTTCTTATCCAGCCCCTGATGTTCGATGCACTTAATGTCCGTAATGTCGGTGGCGTGTCCGTAATGGCCTTTCATGCTGTCTGAAGTCTGAAGTTTCTGTCGCCTTAATTAACTCGCTAAAGCCTCCTGTCCAAGCCAAGGGCTTGCACGTTCAACCAATTTATAGACGTCCGTCTGTCCGTCGAGTGTCCCGCCCTGCAGGATGGAGATGGACAGCGAGCAAACACCAAAGCAAATCCACAAAAGTCGTTCATTTGCTCGGGGGCTCTCGCTCTCTCTTTCGCTTTATTTATATCCTTTGTGGAAGGACGATATTCTAGGAGCCTTGAGGGGAAGAATTCGGGTGGGTGGACAACTAAAAACCCATAACTATATGTTTTACTGACACATTTTAAAAGTGCTCCTCCGCAAGTTGCTGTTGAAATTTATTGTTATTGCGTTTTGTACGCGCACTTTCCGTATCCCTTTTTTACTTGCTTTATTTTTCCCTTATTTTTATTTTGCCACACACAAACGTAACCAAGGACATTTTGTTGTGCATTTGTGTTAACCTAATATGCTTGTAATTGCCATCTGGCCGGGATATCTGCCCAGAAAAACTACAACATAAAAATAAAACAGTACCAAAAAAAACAACAACAGCTCTTTGCAGAACAATGAATGCTGCTCTCTGGTTGTTGTTTGTTTTTTGTCTGCCGCACTCGCTTACTCGCATTCGCATTCGCACTCGTATCTGTATCTGGCACACAGCCACGCTACGAGTATCTTGTTAGTGAAAGTTGAAAGCGAGGACCAAGGACGCGGAGAATGCAGAATTGTTCTGCCACTAGATTCTGGCCATTGTGTGCTCTTTGGTTTTATATTTAGACCAGCAAAAACTATCCAAAAACAGTTTAAACAAATTTTCAAAGATCGCTTTAACTGTGGAAGTTAATGGTGTTCCTTTTTACGGTGTGAAATAATTCCCAAAATTAAAAAAAATCATTAAATATAGAAATATAGCGTTAAAAAAACACGAGTAGGAATGTGTTAGACACTTTGTTATATCTGTTCCTTATTGTTTTTTTTTATACATTTGAAATTTGACATTGTCTCTACATCCACAGCACATCTCACGCCAACACACTCTTTAAGCTCGCTCGAGAATGTGCAAAAAATAAAAAAAGCTGCTGGGCAGGGTAGGCGCAACCACTGCAAGTTAAATTCATTTAAAAGTAAGTTTCCCTTCGCTTAATGGTTCAAAATTCGTCTGCACACAGCCTTTCTCGTTGACGAGTGAGCAAACACTGAAAACCAATCTAACCCGAACGCCGACGATTCGGCAATCGACGAGAACACCTTGTATAATTGCATCATGCTTTGGCGTATGCTCTTGTTGGATGGGGTGAGATGGGGAGTGTGTGGACAATGTCATCTTCAATCTTTAAACTTAGGAGAGGAAAATAAAGCAGTAGGTGCGTTGATGAGATCATCAGCACAGCAAATTAATGCAATGAACTGCTTGACCATGCGTAACCGAATTTCACCTTTTCTAATGAATTTCAATGACGAAATCTGACTATCTGTCAGGACCATATCTTAAATTTCAATTGGAACAAAATTCAATCTGAATCCAATTCCAAGGAAATATGGCTAATGAAATATAAAACTCCCACTCATATCAACTTAAAGACAGCAAACATACAATTCCTCGCTTAAGTGTGGGCTCTTTAGGATGGGTTTCGCTACTCGCTTTACCAACCAACCCCTCGCACTGGAACCATGCGGAGCAGGAAAGGCCTCGGTCGACACGTGTCGAGACATCACTGTCAATGGATGTCAAAAGCACAAGAATGGAAATCCTAGCCAGAAACGGCGCAGCGACAAGCCTACTTAACTACTCACTCAACAAGCGACACTTAGCAGCGACCACCAACACTCGATCTGGCAAAGAGAAAAAAGAGCTCTATATGGAAGATATCTGTATATAGAAGAGAGCTCTCCCCCCATTGCATGTTTTGTGAAAATTAAACCTTTCACTCAACTGAAGCCCAAAGGGAGACTCAAACTGTTCTTCGAAAATCAAAATCTATAAGGCACCGAAAATCAGAAACTGTTTGGTGCCCACAACTCCCCCCACCCGTCACTCTTTCGGCAGTAATATCCTGCCATATCCTGGCTTCCCTTCATGTGGTTTATGATTCCGTGGGGCGGGGGATGGCCTAAACGCATTACATCGTCGAGACAAGGGCCCCCGTCCGTCTATCCGTCCGTCTGTCGCTCAGACAGCACTTGAAGCTTACATTTTATTTGTAATATGACAGCACTTCCATATCCTTTTTCAATATTGAGAGAGGCAGGAAATTATGCACGTCAGGACCTGTCTGCTTATGTCTAATGCCCCGTCCACAGATCAGATCATATGGGGGATGCACATACCACATCCCACACACATAGCCCACAGCAATGAAACAGTACGAAACAGGGCTGAAGTTAGATGTATGTTAGCCCCTTTCGCCACTCCTACCACAACACTCCCTGTCATGCGTTTGGTCTTTGCATATTTGATTCTATTCGTCAGTTAATGAGTTTGTCTGATAATCGTACCATCGGTTACGCCCTGAACATTTGGACATTGATTTGAATGGAAAACTAAACATGTGGCCAATGCCATTTCCTTGGCAATTGATTGAGGTGAAGTTTAGGGAAATGCAAGGAAAATTGTTTTCAAGTAAAGGGAAATCAATGAAAAAGGGCACAAACGTAATTGAAACTAAAGAAATGTTGCACAATTTAAGGAAGATGAAGTTTAATGTAGAAACTGGTGGATGATTGTGGTAAATGTAAAATAGATGGAATTACAGTAGCTTTGAATTAATTCAATTGGTATATTTTTGACACTAATTCGTTTGGTATACTGAAAAGAATTGGGGAAATTAATATACCAGCTATCTTTCTGATGTTCGGGAACAAATCCTTTCTTGATTTCCTTACCATAACAATTGCTTATAGATTTATAGAGAATCTATAGATATTCTTCCACAATTTCCACCAATTAATGCCAAGCACATTTCACTCTTGGCATAAACCTTCATTTATTTTCACTCTATTTAAAACGAATTCCTTTTCAAATTCTTTACCCCTTGGATATTTATTTTAATGCAAGTGCCCCCTTCCTTTAGCGCAACAGCGAATTCAATTGTCCTCCGAGGTATTTGTCATCAGTCATAGCCACGAAACTGTCCTCGTATTTGCTTTTTACTCCTGACTTTTACTCCTTTTAACTCCGTTTTTTTCGTTTGTTTGTTTTTGTGATATCAAATATCAAATGCTGATTGTGTTTACCATTTCATGGTTTCATTTACTGGCAGAGTTATGCTACCCCATTCAGTGCTCTACAGTGCCCAACCCATCCAACCTATACCCTTTTCATTCTTCCATCAGTACCTACTCTGCCCCACTTTCTGTTCCACTATATTGTCATTTTCACTGATGCTTGAACGTTTTTTGACCCCCTCCGATTTTCGCTTTGTAGCGCTTCCTGCCCCATTTCATCTTTTTCTGTGGTCCCCCTCTTTCCAGCTTGTCCTCAGTTCTCTTGGGGTGTGAGTGAAACAATAATATGGGGCGAATGCACGAGGGGAGAAATATATAAAGCTGGCAAACTGCTGTTGTTGCCCTCAGGGGGGGCGTTGCGCAGTGCAACGGACATCAGGACAACCACTGACCACTTGGCAGCTTCCAAAACGTAATGTGAAATCTGCTCGGCTGTCAAACGGAAGCCATTGTGGGAGATAGGAAAGCTGGGTACCCTGTAGATGACTGGGAAAATGAAATTTGTTTTAGATTTTCTAACGAATATAAATTTTTGTTTGATCAAATTGTTATTGGCATTGTGGACATCCAACCACTCGAAATTAAACGTATATACTTCAATATTTCTTCTCTGCTCCTCTTATTGCCCCATCAAATCCACATACCCTTTCACTTTTAATTTAGGGTATTCCTCTAAAAGAAAACAACATCTATCAACCCCTTTTTGGCGTAAAGTAGATCCGTAAATCCTTTAAATGGGGGAAGGCCAACGCGATAGCACAGTGGTGGAGAGGCGGGCTGTGGCTGTTTCTGTTGCCTCATTTGAAATGCATGTGCGACGACAACGACAACGACAACACTGGCGAAGCAATCAACTTCGTGTTGTTGGCCGAAAAGGAGCATATCCTGAATCCGTTATGCTGACTCCTTGACTCTCGACTCACCCACACCCACTCTCGACTCACCCACTCTGATCTGGGTTGGCTTGGCTTTTTGGCCTGCGGAAGTGTTTGCTTATTTAATTTCTGGTATTTTTAATTGAATTTTCAATGTCGACTGCTTAAATCTACCCTCTGTGTACTTCTAATTCTTCTTCTAGGAGCTGCATTATTGGGCCCGAGCTGAGCGTCAAGGTCTGCTCCATTGGCACTGTGATAAATCGATCGGCCTATATGTCGGACTATTGCCAATTGGAGGGCACCACTGGCCGGCAGACACAGCCGATGCCCATACGCTGGATGTCCTGGGAGAGTGTGCTATTGGTAAGTGCGAAAACAAAGCCCCAGAGTACACTAAAAACATCTTTTAATATCTGCACACAAATACAATAATCCATTTGAAAATAAAATCCATTAAAAAATACAAATAAAATGGTTAAACCTTTGCCACCAACTAGCTGAGGGGCAGCTATCTCTGACTCTGACTGACAGTTACCCCAATTAACCGGCACAGGCTTCGAGTACATTAACCTGCACTCTACCCACAACTTCACAGAATTGTATTCCCCAAACAAATGAACAAACCAAACCCAACGAAACCGAAAGACCAAACACAAAAAAAACTGCGGCTAAGAATACATCGAAAAAAAAGAAACAGAAAAGTGGAAAAGGAAACCCGAAAACCGAGTAAAATATTTTATAAATCCCCCAGCGAAAAACCGCACTAAATAAATTAATTAACTACACGAGGAACGCAGAGTTAGGAGAGAGAGGCAGCAGAGGCAGAGACCAACAACAAACCCAAACACGACATGTATAAAGTTACCATCAAGAGATACTAGATATAGGGCCCACGCAGCATATCCCCTTTTATCATGAGATGGGGAACATTGTTCGTAGAGGAGAGGTATCCATGGATGAGAGTGTGTCTATGTGTGTTTGTGTGTCTGGTTTTTAGAAGCTGCTTTTAGAGGGTGCCTCTGGTGGCCCCCAAGCGTTGGTATAAGCCCATGGTATGGGTGGGGTTTGGCTCTCTCTGTGTATATTAAAAAGCGCAAAAGTTGCGTTACAGGATATTTGTGCACATGAATAGGTTCGTGCTCTGCTCTGTGCGTTCTATGTTCAGATCTGTGCACAGGAACCGCATAATCCTTAAGCCAAAAAGCATGTAAACAAAATCAAAAGGCCTTTTGGCAATGAAGAGGATTTCTATTTTCATAGCAGATTGTATTCGGCTACCAGGTTTAAGGGTAGTAGTGGGGACAACATAAATGTAGTGTAGACTGCTTTCAAAATAAAGTCAAAATTTGTTTAAAATGATAAAAGAACAGTATTTGGGGGCAGAAGCTATTAAGAGAGCGACTTTTATTAGGTCTACAGGAAAATATAATACAAATTTAGATGAGCATCGATAAAATATTACCAAAACGATAAGGGGCGTGTGAGACGCTTCTGACGTTACTTCTGTTACATAAATCCACTTTGTGGACAAATACAATACCGTACCAGGTATAACAAGTAGATATAAAGACAAAACTTAAGGGGCATCAGAGAATTTGCTATCATAGACTAACATGCCAATGCACCTCTACATCCATATAGCTTCTGCAGTTTTTCATGCTACAGATCATTTCAGTAGAAGTAGATCATCTACCAAGTTATTCTGTGTGAATTAGACACTCCACTACTCCATATTTATACATTTTCTTTCACTTCCAAAGTCTATTTATTTAATATAATATTAACATTAATAAAGTCCATATTAATGCAATCCGCTTATAATCCTTCTTACAGGGAAAATTCACCACAAAATCAGATGTCTGGTCATTTGCTGTTGCACTCTGGGAGATATTAACATTCGCGCGGGAACAGCCCTACGAGCACATGACAGACGAGAATGTTATTGAGAACATTGGACACATCTATCAGGATGATAAAATGCATGTAAGTGGATTCCTTTAAAGTGGCTGTAAAACCCAAAACTGAATTTTGTATTTATATTTTTCTGTTTTGGCAGGAACTGCTGCCCATGCCCGTCAACTGCCCGCGTGAAATTTACGATCTCATGTGCGAGTGCTGGCAGCGCAACGAATCGAGTCGACCCAATTTCCGGGAGATACATTTGTTTTTGCAGCGCAAGAATCTAGGTTTTAAGCCCCAGTCCCAGACGCTGATGTATTGAAATCCAATATGTACACAAAAACGCAACCAGCAACAAAAAACACACTAAAGAACTCAAAACTAAATGCAATTTTTAGCACATCATAAATCTACATAAATATTTCGAGTGTTCCATGCGAATTTTGAATGTATTTAACAAGAAAAAATGTATTGTAAAGCATTTAAATAATTAATGATTTTTAACGTAAAAACAGAAATTCTACGGCATGTCGTAGATAGGGATGCCTAAGATGGGGGGATAAAACTCTGAATCTATCAGAATTTTTGTACCCATTACTCTAAGAGTAAATGGGGTATATTGTATTGGGGGGGAAAATTGGAAGTACATATGTAACGCACAGAATTAAACGTT